GACCAAGCGTATCTCGTGTATATGTCGATCACCGTCAAACAATACTTGTACCCTCTCTCGACTGGCATGTTGATTAAATCGGCTAACCAAATTTCATCTTTATCAAAAACTTTGACTTTGAGGTAATGTTTGTTTTTTCGAAATTCTTTGTGAATCTCTTCTGCTATGCCCATACCCAATTTCAATTTTGCCTTCAAGAGTTTTATGATAAGAGCCCTTTGTAATTTCTCTTTGAAAGTGGGATTGGGAATATTTTCAAGTTCGTCTATCATTTGAATCCAGGAAGAGAACCCAATGACTTTTGAATGTCTCCCGCACCGAAATACGTTTTAGGAGGATGGACATTTATTAAAGACATATTTGTTCAATAAACACCATATATCTTTAATACGAAAGATTTAATACAAGGAGAAAACTATTCAAGCGATAGTTATGAAATGTCACGAGCGATCCTAATAAGAGCGGTTTGAAAAATGAGGTCACGAGCGATCCTAATAAGAGCGGTCATAGTTATCTCCCGCCTTACACTATTGGCAGTCATAATTCAAAGGTCACGACCGCTCTTATTAGGGTCGCTCGTCATCCTTTGTTCTATTTTCGAAAATCTGTATCAACAATTTTGAAACCTTGGATATTTGTCACAGAGTTTGGTAAAATATTCTTGGCCTTTTTCTATCCCCTGGAATAAAACAAAAATTGATATTTTGAAAAAAACAGCAAATTAATCTTAATTCCACCCTGTCGTCTTATGATTAAATCGAACAAAAAGAAGATACCTTGATTTTTGTATGATCAGATTCCTAATCTTCAACAAATATTGAGACACTGCTAACAGTTGAGAGTCTAGACTGTCTGTGCTGACGTTGCACGCGTGATATGTTAATTATTGCGTGACAACAATAGAGGAGTGATTGTTACTAGGCATTAAATCAATAATATTCTAGACAACTAACTGTGTATAAACAAAAAACAGTGTTACCTCCCATTAATCAGTTGAGGTTTTTATTTCGCATTTCTCTTATATGCTGTAATTTTTTCAACTCGTTAGATCTTTTCACTGCATCGCTTATATCTTCTCCTGGGGAAATTTATCGTTTGAGACAAAGTTGGCCACTTTGGGGATGAGAGATGATAGCGCTGAGAAGAAACCGTCTCCTTCGAATTTTTTTTGTTCGTGTTTTAAAATTAAAGACAATTTTTAATGCGGTTATTTTATACTGTATTATTTTAGTGAATCTTGTGTGGTTTGGGTAATTTATATGGAGTCATTTTTAACAGTTTGAGGAGTCTGTTATAATACATTTTTAACAGTTTGAGGAATCTGTTATAATACATTTTTAAACAGTTTGGGGGAGTCTGTTATAATACTTTTTTAGCAGTTTGGAGGGAGTCTGTTATAATACATTTTAACAGTTTTGGGGGAGTCTGTTATAATACATTTTAGCAGTTTGGGGAGCCTGTTATAATACATTTTAACAGTTGTGTCTTTTCGGATATGACGCATGAAAAAGCTGCGCATGCGCAGAAGTGAAATGCTTCATATCCGAAGACATACACTACTACTCACACCAAGTTTCATCAAAATTCGTGTGTTTACGTGCAATTGTGGACGGACGGACGGACAGACATGGGTGACGGCAATATACGCCCCCCCCCTCCATTTCATGTGAGCGTATAAAAATATCAATGTCTTTTTATGAAATGGTAATGGTGAGTTTTAGATATTTTGGGTCTATGATTGAAAATCAACATAAATTGTATCCGATGTATTTTTCAGAGGTAAACGCGAAATTAAATCGTTTAAAATATAAAAAAATAGATTTAAAATATGTGACTAATGATGTATTTTGTTCCACCAGTGTTGTTTATCTATAATTTATACAATTAGCAGACAGAATTAATGATATTTATCAAACTCAATCTATCAGGTCGGCTGGTATAGCAAATATTTTTTTCTTTTGAAGTTTGAAATTTATCCATAGACTTAGATATGATCATTGCTTAGCCCGTATGCACAAAATAATATCAGAAAAATGGAATTGTTTCAAACAATAAATACATTTCATTCTATTTACATCTTACATTTATTTTGTGCTAAAAGCTCGGTCACCAAAGCAAATTTGGACCAAAATTTCAAAAATGAAATCTGTTTTGGTGACCGAGCTTTAAACATTCAAAGCATGATTCTTGCCGAATTTTGACAAAACTTGGTTTTATTATTCCAGTACCGCGCTGAAGGTTGAACATTTGCCTTCTGGAGTGTTTAAAAGCTAAAAATTGAACACGTTTTCAAGAACAAGGGCAATAACTCATACTCAATATTACTCAGTATCGCCCTAAAGAGTTCAAAAGAAGTGTATGACTGAAGGTTGAATATATCATACTGGTAATTGTTACTGTACTGCTAAATATTTATATTCAAAATCAAAGCTGTCGGTGGGCGTATATTATCTTGCCTGGCAAGTTATCTTTGTAAGAATAAATCATTAGGATATTTTAGACATTTTGTTAGAGTATTTTGTTCCAAACCTAGTCTTGTACATTTTGGGATCATCAACCCATCAACTCTTAATTTTACCGTTTACCTGTAGCGGTTTTCCATTTGCATTGTAAAGTTGAAAACTTGATTTTTGTACCTCATCTCACTTTGTGAGTAAACTATACGTTAGTCATTTGGTGTGCTGCTTGCGTTAACTTATCAAACTGTTTAAAGGAAGTGACGATATTGAGGTCTCCTCATGCACGTGTATAATGAATACAGTAACCTTTGTGCTGAAGGATAGGGCAATATTGAGGTCACACCATACACGTGCATATTGCCTATCATACCGTATGTTGTAGACCAGGAAATATTTTGAATAAGGAGCTCAAATTTAGGATCCTGTGTTTCTGGGAAAAGTTTCAGCAGATTAATAAATCAGAGAACCAATTGGTCGGTTTGAAAATCACGTGACCTGCATTATCCTTTAGATTGTGTTGTTTTTACTTGGGTGTTTTGAAACCTTCTTTTGGCCTTCAGTTTAGTTCAATGAAATTCTTGCAGTGCTTTGCTCGGCCCAGTCAGATGTAGAAAACTAAGACGTAATTCCTTCTAATGTAAAAGCTAGTACGTGATTTGAACGGCATTTAGAAGCTGAGAGTATATATAACAGAAAAGCACAAGGGAATATATTATTATGGTATAACACACTTCTTTAACAACAAAGAACATTTTACACCAGTCGTCATCAGATGAAATGAAGAAGGAGGGAGTAAACAATGACATATATAACAAAAAAGTGGGAAGACATGGTAAACAATGAAGCTAATCCAATAAAAATGAATGAACGATAAATACAGAGGCCAGTGATGTGGTTACATACATTCTGAAGCCAGATGGATGAATAATAATTCGAACAGTGAAGTAACCTAATTTCGTGCGAAACCAATTTCGTGTATCTCCTGAAATGTTGAAGAATTTACCTATGCGACCTCGTGTGACATCTGCATTTGCATATTTTGATAAACATGTGTCACTCATTGGAATTCTGCTGGTAATTCTCTTCTAATTAAGCTAATTATAATTTAAGTATGGACATGTGAGACAAATTTTTCCAAGTCATTATAACACCTCTACTTTCTTTTCATATAAGAAATAGCATTTTCATTTTCATAAATGAAAATAAGGGAACCAATTTTTAATGTTTAAAACAATTCCATTTTTCTGATTTTATTTGGTGCTTACGGGCTAAGCAATGATTATATCCACGTCCATGGATAAATTTCAAACTTCAACAGAAAAAAAAATATTTGCTATACCAGCCGACCTGATAAATAGTTTGATAAACATTAATTCTGTCTGCTAATTGTATAAATTATAGATAA